GAGTAGCCAGTCGGATCTTGGTGCTGATTCATCCCCCTTGCGGCAGCAGCCATCTTGCTCAGGCAAAGACTACTCCCTGTGAGCGGCACCAGCATTAAAGGAGCCAATAGCCCCACCCCCATGTGAAATTCCATCCCGCCCTGTGATAAGCTGCCTGTTGAGTGCAGAGTGGCAGCCACAGACAGTAGATCCCTGGTTAAAGGGGGCACAGAGAGGTCTGGAGACACTTGAGGAGAGACTGGGGATGGAGGCTTTGGGAAGAGAAAGGAGAGAGTAGCTGGCTGGATCCCAGTACAGACTCCTCCCCCATACAGCAGCAGCATGAGAGGATCCAATAACCCCTTCCTCATGGGGGATTCCACCCTGCCCTGAGCTGTCTAAGGTGGTCTGCTGAGTGCAGAGGGCATAGATTAACAGCTGAAGGAGTCAGCCACAAACAGTAAATAACTGGAAGTCTCAAACAGACTGTCTAAGGTCAGACAGGGTCAACATCTGACATCATCAGAGGCAGATCCAGAAAGTAAAAACAGTGGTCTCCAACCATAGAAGTTCACACCACAAAGTCAGGAGATCAAGACAGATCCACTTAAAAATCAGAAGCAAAAGAGAAGAGTCTCACAAATAATGGGAAAACAAAGAAATATGCCCCGCTTGAAGGGAAAGGAGCAATCCCCAGAAAGAGAACTAAATGAAATAGAGGCAAGTAAACTATCAGATACTGAGTTCCAAACAATGGTTCTAAGGAAGCACAATGAGCTCAGTGAGCTCAGAGAGAATTACCAAAAACTATAGGGAAATTATAAGGAACTTAATGCAAAGTATATCAGCATGTAAAAGGACATAGAACCTATCAATAAGAGACAAGAGGAAATGAAGAATACAATTTCTGAATTGAAGAACACAGTAGAAAGAATCAAAAGCAGGCTTGATGAAGCCGAGGATTGAATCAGCAAGCTGAGGACAAGGTAGAAAAAAGTTCTCAGAAAGAGCAAGAAAATGAAAAAAGATTAAAAAAGAATGAAGAGGCATTGAGGGAAATGCAGGACAACCTGAAATGTAATAATATCCGTATAATAGGGGTACCAGAAGGGGAAGAGGATGAAGAAGTGATACAGAACCTGTTTGAAAAAGTAATGATAGAAAACTTCCCTAATTGGAGGAAAGAAAAAGTCACACAAGTGCAGGAAGCACAGAGGGTCCCATTCAAGAGGAACCCAATGAGGCCCACTCCAAGACACATCATCATTAAAATGGCAAATATCAAAGACAAACAGAATCCTAAAGCAAGCAAGGGAGAAAGAAGTAGTAACATATAAGAGAGCCCCGATATGGCTAGCAGCTGACTTCTCAACACAAATCCTGCAAGCCAGAAGAGAGTGGCAAGAAATATTCCAAGTCATGAAAAGCAAAGGTCTGCAATCAAGACTTCTCTACACAGCAAGGCTCTCAATTAAAATGGAAGGTGAAATAAGGAGTTTCCCAGACAGATGAAGGCTAAAAGAGTACACTTCCACCAAACCAGCACTGCAAAATATGCTAAAGGTACTGCTTTAAGATGAAATAAAAGTTTCTATGAATACCCAGTTCCTTTTATAGTTGCCAGTACTTGATATTACCAATATTTTTAATACTCATTAATCTGATTGTGACAATGATGTTATTTTAATTGTTCCTTTACTATTTGTTGAGACTACACCTGTTTTAGTATATTTCTTGCCTATTTCTTTTTTTTTTTTTAAAAAGCTTTAAATGACTTTTTGGTATTCTTTATCCATTTATTGATTAAAGGTGTGTAGAACTTTTTTCCCTAAAAACAAACAAACAAACAAAAAAAAAAAAACCCTGTTAACTATGTTTTAGATATGTTGCAAATACTTTTCTATTCTATTCCTTGTCCTTTAAATTTTTATATGTATATTACTATATAGTTAAAATTTACTTTATAACTTCTGGGTTTGAATATTTTACTTCAGGTTATGAAAAATATTAGTTCTATTTTCTTCTAAAACTCCTTAGATTCTACAGATTGATTTTTAACTCACCTGAATATTTCTTGTATAATGTGTGAAATAGGGCTCTATATTTGTTTTATTTCAAGTAATAGTGGTCCATGTACCTTATTTGTTGAATAAGCCTTATTTTACCCATTGATTTGAAATATCAACTTAATCATATATTATATTGTTAGATATATACGTCTGTTTCTAGAATGCTCATTATTTCATTGATCTACTTGATTATTCTGTGCTGATGTCATGTTGTTTTAATTGCTGAGACTTTATAATGGTTTTAATTTTTTAATATTTTATAATTAACTTTGACATTTAAAAAATAAATAAAATCGATCTGCATTTAAGAAAGAAAGAAAGAGGGAGAGAGATGGAACTCTTACCTTTTGTGACAACATAGATGGAACTGGAGAATATTAAGCTAAGTGAAATAAGCCAGTTGATGAAAGAAAAATACCATATGGCTCACCTATAAGTGGACTCTCTTCAACAAAATAAACTAATGAACAAAGTAAACCACAGGCACAGAAACATGGAGCAGACTGAATGTGACCAGAGGAGATGGGAAAAGAGGGCAATGTTGGAAAGAAGGAGAAGGGACTAGACAAAGAGCATGCATGAATAACCCATGGACATGGACAACAGAGTGAGAATTGACTGTGGGAGTGGGAGGTGGGGGTAGGATGGGTGGAGGGGGTTAAAGGGGTAAAAGTTGAGACAACTGTAATAGAATAAACATGATTTATAAATAAAAAATTATAGAAAAAAGAGTACATGCACCCCTTAATTATTTACAATAGCTAAGACCTGGAAACAGCCTGAGTGCCTATCAGTAAATGAATGGATAAAAAAGCTGTGGTATGTTTACACAATTGAATACTACCTAGGTGTAAAAAAGAAGAAGCTCTTACCTTTTGTGACAGCATGGATGGACCTGGAAATTACTATGCTAAATGAAACGAGCCTGTCAGAGAAAGGCAAATACTATATGATTTAATTTATATGTGGAATATAATCAAGAAAATAATTGAACAAACAAAACAGAAACAGAAGCATAGATACATAAAACAGACTGAGAGCTGTCAGAGAGAAGGTGCTTGGGGGGCTGGGTGAAAAAAGTGAAGGGGTTTATATATATGTGATACCTAGACATGGAAAACAGTATGATGATATCCAAAGGGAAACAAGGGTTGGGGTGGAAGAAGTGGATAAATGAAATGGGGACAGAAAGAGACTTGATTTTGGGTGGTGAGTACATAATGCAGTATGCAGATGATATTTTATTGGGTTGTATGCTTGAAACCTGTATGGATTTATTAACGAATGTCACCACAATAAATTCAATTAAAAATAAAAGAAATGGAAATTTGGAAGTGTCATAACAGGTGAAAAATTTTATTTGCAGAAACTAATTTATGTGGCTGCAAGTTGAAAAATATATGTATGTATATATACACACATTTACACAAATATTTTAAGGTAGGTATACACATTATCCAAAGAGATACACATCCATAAAATGTGCACCACTCTATTTACATTGGATATCTTGGATAGCTGTGAGTGACCATGAGGGGACCATAGAGACGGAAGGTGCAGAATGATTTCACTTTCTAAGTACACATTTTTAATGTTTAATATTTTGTGATTGGAAAATTACTAGAGAGAAACACTTGAAAATATTTAGTAACTAATTGACAGAGGAGTTCACATATATTTACCATGCTATGGAATGTTCATGATACTGTCTTACAAAAAGTAAACAATTTCAACTTTTGACTTGAATCTGTATATGTGTGTATGTGTTTCTCTCTTACAGTTCCCCTACCCCAAATGATTACACTCTTGAGTGCATATTTTTCTTCAGCTCAGTGACTAGATTTCTTCTCTCAAGGTATAGAGATTCAGGAAGGCATTGTGAACAAGGAGTGGAAAATTAGAGAAAGTAGTGGATAATTCCAGAATTCCTGCTAATGCATGAGAGCGTAGGCATCCCCCTTCTTCCTTTACCCTTCACCCTTACAGTTGACTTCCAGAGCTACAATCCTAGCTATGACCACTAAAAGGAATCTATCTACATTGAGTACTCTTATTTTTTTTAAAGGAAAGTACATGATTTGTCTTTTCTACTCTCATTACAGTGACCCACCAATCTCTGTTTGCTATTTCCTTGATATTTTCTTGGCCTGTTTTTTTCTTTGTATTATCTTTATGGGATGAGCTGGAATGAATTCCAGTCATAGACTATTTTGAGAACACTTTGTTACAATGCCCTAATTTAAGAAAACCCCACATATTGCAGCAAGAATTTAGTAAAACTATGCTTGGAGTGGTCACCCTTATTGCATGGAGCTCAATTCCAGTTTCTGTTTCTCCAGTTAGCATCTGAATGCCTGCAGATAAGCCCAAGTACCACATTAAACCCCAGCAACCTTGGAAAGCTGGTGATTCTGATATCAGAGTCCTCTTGTGAAGAATACATTAAAGAATAGATGCAATGTAGCAAGTACACAGCCTGGGCCAATAGCTGGCACTTGAAGTTCTCTGGGTTTGCAGAATGAGGGAACACAGTGTAGTGCAGCCAACACAGAGCCTGGCATTCAGAGTTCCCGGTGTTTAGATACAAGTACCTAGGTCCCAGGCCTCCTGACTCTGGTTGGCCTCCTCTGCAGGGGTGGTTCAGTGGGAAATAGTTCCCTGGGTGTTAGCTGGTAGCAAGCTCAGGGGGCAGTAAGAGCAGGAAGTTAAGTATCCTCTGGCCCCCAGAGCTTTCTTCTCTATGCCTTTAAGAAAGGGACTTCCTGTAAAGACTCCATCTTGTTCGTCTGGCCCTGAAGAAATTATTGGGACCAGGTCTTGTCTTCCTCAGCAGCCCACCTTGATCTTCAAACATCCAGCTCCAGGCTCCACAGATTCTCCTCACAAATACCCTTTGAGGACTTTGGTGACAGATCACTGCCTTCTGGCCACACCACAGGTGAGTTAGTAGGCATGAAGCCTTTGCCTCAGATCCTCACTGGGCTGGAGTGGTTCTGGGTTCCCTCCCTACCCCAACCCGTGGGATATCTAGACTACTTCCATTTTGGAACACGGGTGGTGGTGGCCCAAGCTATTTTCCATGCTCTTGAGGAAATGGACCAAGTGAGCCCCTTACATACCCATCCTGGTTCCACACGGAAAACCTCCCCTCCTTATGGATGTGGGTGAAGTGAATTTTTTCTTTCCCTTCTTGAGGGGAAATACCTGAGTCATATAGTCTTCTTAGGCCCAGGTTTGGAGAATGGGGAGGGTCACCTAGGTTGGGGGGATTTGGTGTAAATTAACATTTTTTGGATTCATACTGGAGGTGCAGAGGGACAGAGAACCCACCATTACTCTTGAATTCCACATCAGCTATTCAGGGTAGATTTTGTTATCCCATGGCAGTTTGTTGAGTCTTGCTTTATGGCTGAGCACATGACCTATTCTGGAATGTTCCTTGTGTGGTTGTTGTGTGCATTGTTTTATGTTACTTTGCTAATTTACTTAAATCACATTTTTAAATCTTTATGTAGCTGAATTTTTGTCTGCCATGTTATATGTCAATCAGTGAGCTGTGCTAAAATTTCCCACTGTAACCATGAATTTGTCATTTCTCCATTTACTTCTATTAGTTTTTGGTTTACATGTCTTGGCTCTATAGTAAGACATACATACAAATATAGAATTTTTATTAATATTTTCTTATTGCATTGAATTTGTTATAATAAAGAAATTCCATTCTTTCCTTTAGTAATTTTTTAAAAAGTGTGCCTTTTCTTTTACTAACACAATTGTACCAGCTCTCAAGAAGTTAGTGTGTAAATAATATACATTTTGCCAAATTATTTATTCAGATTTTCTAAATCATTAAATTTTGCATGTATCTCTTTAAAGGGCCATCTGACAGAATGCTTCTAAAAATCCATTCTGATAACATTTGTTTTCCTATTTGGAATATTTAATTTGAAACTTAATGTAAATATAGATATAATTAGTTTATATATGCCATATTACTGTACATTTATTTTTGCCAGTCCTAAGTCACTTTCCTCTCCTTTTATTTGAAACAATTAATGTATTTGACTATTAAATTGTTCCCTCATTTAGCTAGATACTTAGACATTCTATTTCCATTTTTGTAGTGTTTACTTGTAAGAATACAATGTATACTCGTACTTTGCTTTTTCACAGTCAAATGTAAATAGTCCCTGAGACCTCCTCACATAATTAAGTGATTTTAGAACACTTTGATTCCATTCACTGCCTCCCACTTTACTGTCATGCATTTTAATTCTGTATATATTTAACCTCCCAGAATACATTATTGGCATCATGCCATACAGTCAACATTCATTTAGACTTGCCTACACAGTCACAAATATTAGATTTTCTTTCCTGCATCTATGTGCCTCCATCTGGGATCGTATTTCTTCTGCCTGGAGAAGAATCCTTAATATTTCTTTTAGCTTGAGTCTTCTGGTCTCAAATATTTGCAGTTATTGCTATGTTAACATCATTATGAAATGTGTTTCTTTTCTTTAAGAATGTTTTTCCTTAAAATATACTTTTTTTCCTATTAATATTGTTAAACTGACTTGATATCTTCTTCCTTTTGTAACTTCACAACCAAAATCTCTTCAAATACCATTTCTGCAGTGTTCCCTCTTCTTCTTACTGGGGTTCAAATTAAACATGTTAGATATATTCACAACATCTTTAATTCTCTTCCTTTCTCTTTTGGTATTCTCCACATTATGTCTCCCTGGACATTATTCTTGATATTTTTACCAGACTTCTCTTTCAGTTCTCTAATTGCTCATTTAGGCAGGAACTCATCTTTGACCCTTGAACCGTAACACCAAACCTCCAGGGTAAATTTCATAATCTCCATAGAACAGAGGAGAGAAGTGAGAGTTAGAGATAATAAACAACTTGTCCCAGGCCACCTAGCCTGTAAGGGACATATCAGGGACTAACATCACAAATTAAACTCAATACCTAAACCCTTTCTTCTGGGCTTTTCTTCTTGGCTGTGAATATCCCCGATCTCTCATCTCCCAGGACATGGAACCACAGTGAATTCTTGTGATGTATTTCATTTTAGATCATAAAAATCAGTAATATTTCTTCATTAGCCATGATATCTCCCCAGGACTTTTTCTGGTATTGGGATCATTGATGTGTTGTTCTTAATTTCAGGGCACAATACCCAAGGTAACACCATACGTTGAAGATCAGGCTGGGGTATGTATCGAAGGAGACGTATCAATCTGACTGAACATATCAGTTATGACATTCATCCTTCATCCCACCGGCAACAAGATGGAGATCCTGCAACAAGTGATGCTCTCATGGACACCCGAGTAAGATAGTAAGTGACCAGTCAGCATGGCTGAAATGTACCCGCCAGTGGAACATATAACCTTGTAGTTAAACATGTCATTCTTCTCTGCAACCTGGAAAAATGAGGAATGATAGGAGCAGATTAATGGTATAGAAAACTTTATTTTAGCCTTGGTATCAGTGAAACAAATGTGTATAGAAGACTTTCTGAGCATATATGGACTATTTCTTTCTCTCCACTGCCCCGCAGCATGCCCTATGCTGTTCCACACTATCATCGGAGAGCCTATTTTCAGAAATGGAACCAAAGCCATGTTAACACAGAAAGAGAGCAAAATCCTCCGGAGAAAAAAATGGAGAAGAGGCAGGATGAGACCTCAGGAACCTGGTTCAAGATCATTGTGAGTGTCCTGGAAAAGTGGACCTAATATTTAGAAAATGAACAGAGGACGTTATGTTGGATTCGTGTAGAGACACTAGGCACCTTTCTGGGGCAGAGGAGTTGGTAATGTGTCTTTTTATTACTAGGAGTTAACATCCTAGGTCATCTAAGGGCATACTCAGAGAAGCAATACAAAGGCAATAGACTGACTGTAAGGAGAGTGGGACAAGTAGTCTAAAAGCAAAAGAGGAAACTACTGCCAGGGAGATGGAGCAACTCCATACTGGAAGGCACAGTTTGGCCCAAGCTGAATGTCGGAGGACCTTGAGTCTCTGGGGTCTTTGTGAGAGGTGCAGGTTAAACCTGCCTTAGGTAGGGTCTCTTGGAACTTTATAAAAGGAAATACATGTTAAATATCTTAAGTTGATTATTCGAGGAAAACTATTTGAATGGGAAGAATGGTATTTAGGAAACCTGTGCCTGGTACAAAAGTTGGCAATAATAGATATTGTCCCATCTTTAAAAATTATTTTAAAGGCGGAAAAGAAAGCATTTCCTTTAAATGCTTTAAAGGAAAGCATGGTTGGGTTTTATTTTACCCTTAGATTCCATTACGTCACTCTCCTGTCTTTTCTTTGGCTCCTAGATTCCATTCGGCATAAAATATGATGAGAAGTGGCTACTGAATTTGATTCAGAAACAATGCAGCATCCCCTTCACTCCAACTGAAGTAAGGAGAGTGAGGTTGATGAGAAGAAACAGGAAAGATGAGCAGTGGCTCTGGTCTCATATTGTTTCTCTTGTCACTCTCCTTATAGTTTCACTATGAGAAAATGCAGGCCCAGTTCTTTGTTGAGAATGCAACCATTGCCTTTGCACTGAAGAATATCAACGGCAAGATTCGGGATGAGGATAATGAGATGGTGTGTGTTAAGGGCATGACCAGGGTTAGCTAGGGGCAAGAGGGCAGAACAGGGGCAAGGTCTTGCTTGATACCAAGGCTGAGATTTCCTGGCGCTTACCCAGACCCTCTTGTATTCCCTGCAGATATCTATCTTTGTCAGCCCCTCTGATGTGCCTCAGTCTGTGCAGAAGGAGCTGAAGTCAGAAAAGGAGAAGGAGGTAAAGGTAATGCAAACTCAAGACCAGCTGTGTGTCCACATCCATACCTACCTCTTCTTCCCCCACCTATTGCCCCCCTTCACCACCTTAGACCCAGAGCCGCTGAACCCCATGGGGTAATGACAAGGGGCAGTAAAGTGGATTTGTTAGAAAAGGAAGAGACTGAGGGTGAAGATCATCTTGGCTCTCTTTCTCAGGTCCATATATTTCCTCCCCATAATCACAGGTGAAGTCAGCAGGGGAATTGGACCAGGGCAAAGGGCTGGATCCAGAAGAGATGAGTGCAAACAGAAACCCACTATGCACCACCTTCCCAGATAATTCAACCAACATAAGGTTAGTTGTACCCTCTTTTACCACCTGTGAGCCTGAGCTATGCTTGATAATGCCTGTTTGCTGGAGGCAGTAAATAGTTCTTCTGGGAGGACCACAGGGCTTTGCTCTCTTCTCTGTGTCCATCACCTGTGCTTAGAGGTATCTTTTTCTTCCTCTGACCTGCTCACCTGATTGCTTGGCCTGAGGTCCATTTCCCACTTCTCTGCACCCAACCTTCTCATGCATGCCCTCCCAACAACGTGCTCTAGGAAGCAAGCCATCCCCTTTTCAACGGTACCAGGTGTGACCGGCCTTGAGTCATATACTGGTGCTCTGGACTGATAAGGGTCCTCCAACCCAGAGCCTTTGACCCAGAGCCAGCTGAGACAGGCCTTCCTACTTCAAGCTCAGATGAGGCATATTCCCTACCCTGAGATGAAACTGCTTGTCTTTGCTCCAAAGGGGTCTCCTCTCCAATCCCAGACTGAGATGGGGACATTCCCATCTCATGATGAGGGCCAAAGCCCTGGGTGGCTGCCATAATGACATTTGTTCCTCTGGACCAATGCCATGAATTGGGCTCCTCTTGGGAGAATCCAGGGTTTTCTGAGTCAGGGTCAGAAGTAAGCAACCCCCAGTGAGCATAAGACCTCCCAAGGCAGCAGTGGAAGGCAGAGTGCAGTGGGGGTTGAGGAGACAGAAGAACAGTCCTCTCAGCGGCACTGCCCCTCCTTCCACACATCACATCACCTGTCTCATCTTTCAGAGGAGCCCTGGGTACCTAGACATGGGCAGGATTCCTCAGACAAGGAACCAACTAAGACCAGTGCAGGTGCATGGGGACCATGAGGAGAGAAGGATGTGATCACAAGAGGGGATCACAGACCCAAAACCCCATGCTGATCTGGGGCCTGACCCTTTACTCCTTCTCAGGATACTCTCCTTCTCCCTTGCCCCTGACCAACTACTGCATTTCCAATGTTCAGCTCATGCAGAGCTCCCAAATGTGACAAATTTTCCACCTGTATCCAATGGGTCCCCAGCCCATTAGGTGCATGATTTCCATTCCTACCTCAGGGCCCAGGGCCAGCCAGGGGCAAATGAAGAAAAGGCTGCTGCAGGAGATCCATATCCCCTTTCTTCTCTCTTTTTCCCTGACCTCCACCTCCAGGGTAGAACATCTTTCCCTTCCCTTTGCTTTCTCTTTTTCCCTTTGTCTCTATACCCCCGTGTCTCCCCAATCCCCCTCCTATCTCACTCCCTTTCTGTCTTCTTCCTCCTCCTTTTCCCTTCCTGCCTCCTAATCCCTCCCCCAGTGAGAGAGCAGAACCCTGGGCTTTCACCCCCTTCCCTCTTCTCTCTGGAGCTCTCACTGGGGACCAGGAGGAAGAAAGAGAGTCAGGAAGGGGGAAGAAGCCCTCAAGCCTGGGATGAACAAGAAGCTTTTCCTGGCACTGGAGAAGGGACATGGGACCCCCAGGTGGGAGCTACCCAGCAGGATAGAGAGGGAGACAAGGGAGGGCCGGAGGAAAGATGAGCATTTTTACATGGGTCAATCAATGGGGAAGTTTCCTAGGTCCCTGGAAGGCTGGGATAGTGGAGTATAGGTGGGACACACTGGGCTATATGTCTGGTATAGATGTGCTTGCTCCAATGAGGCTGGGCTGCTCTGCAGATTTACTTATGTTTCTGTTTTACCTTAATTTTCGCAGCTCCATCCTGGAACTCTTCCCCAAGTTATTATGCCTGGTAAGTGTATCCTCTATCACTGACTCCTCTAAGTGGAACTGCCATCTCCCACAACCTGGTCTGAACCCCTATAGGTCTGGCCCAAGTTACATTTTTAGATCTGACCCTGAATATTGGCTGGTGGATGGACCCATGTGGAAACCTGTGTCAAAGGCTCTGGACCTTTTTCACACAAGTTCTCCACAGGCTCCAGGGCTCCCATGATGAAGAAACAAATGTAGTTCTGCCTATGGAATTTCCAGGGCTCTTTTGCACCTGACCTCTGACCCCTACCCTCACTTTGGCCCATCCTTTTCCTGATCATTCAGCACCACCCGCTGGTCTGCAAGGCTTACTTCCTTTTACCTTTCTCAGGATGGCCAGGAGCCACACCCACCAACTAATCTGGGGATTGAAGCACACCAGAAGTTACCAACCTACAGGGTGAGGAGGGGACATATAGTAGGGTTTTAGCTGGTGAATGAGGATGCGGTATCAGCTGCGGTCCTGAGGACTGTTTTGATTTCAGGGAAGCTTCTTTGGATCTGATGTAGTGAAGAGTCTAGTGCTGCCATTTCTGCAGCAGTAAGTAGCTCTGGGAACACCAGTGGTAAGGAGGGCTGGGACTGCTGACTGTGACTCCTGTGTTTCATTTGGGGTCCAGTTGACACGGGTAGCCTCTCCCCTTTGCTCCCTCACAGGTATTACATGATCTATGACTCTGGAGACAGACAGAGTCTCCTCGGTGCTTATCACGATGAGGCCTGCTTCTCCCTGACCATTCCTTTCAACCCGAACGATCCAGACCCGTGAGTATCGCAGCTCAGACTCTTCCCCTGGGCTGTGTGGCTCCCCAGCAGACACAGGCCAGCTCATGGGAACACCCACAGTGGTCTCAGACTACCACGTGCTGTTTTCTTTTCTGCTAGAAGCAGCTTGTTCGAGTACTTCAAATATAACAGGAATATGAAGAACCTCAAGGACCCCAGTGCGTGTGGGATGGGGAAGACTGGGCAGGGAAAGGGGGCATGAAGGGGTCAGTCACAGGGCCCTGGGTGTGGCAACCCTGACCTTTGCTGTCCTTCCCCCACAGACCTGCGCTTTCAGCTGCTGAAACATACAAAACGTGACATTGTGTGCTCCCTCAGTGTGTTGCCCAAAACTCAGCATGACTTCAGCTCCTTCATCTTGGACACGTGGTTCCAGTCGGTGAGAGCCCCCTTCCTCCCTCGGGCTGGCCCAGAAAGATGCAGGTGGGTGGGAGGTGTAGACGGTGACCGAGCACCTGCATCCTTCTCTTTCAGGAAAGCATGATCTTCGTCTGTGTCAACGGGGTGTTCAAGGAAGGTGAGTGTGTGTAGAGTCCCCTCTCCAGATGCCCCACTTGTCCCTCCTGCAGGCTGGGGTCTCTCTCAGAACTCTCCCAACTTCCCCGATCCCTCCCCTTTTTCTCCTATTCCCTCTGTGTTCTCCTGCTTCCACTCTGCCCCCAACCCGCCTTGGTCTGACCCGCATCCATGCCTGTCAGCCCCACACAGCTGGAGTGTTAGGGACACAGGTGTGGGGTTTGGTGGCTGTCATCCCGGATCCTTACTCTGAGAACCTGGGCCGGTTGCACGTAACTCTCATTTTCCTCTTTTGCAAAATGGGTCTAATAATGCCCACCTCTTGGGTAGCTGCAAAAAATGAGTCCAATGAACTTGTCGAGTGGTTGTCCTAGGATGGAGTAAGGTCCATGTCAGTGGGAGAAGATTGCTCCTACTGTTGCCCTCCCCATTCCCGACACCCTGACTCCCAGGGGACAGCTGTTCTCTTGGGCATGTATGGAGTCTGACCCTGACTGGGGAACGCAGTGGGGGGTGTGTGAAGCATTGTGACTCTAAAGGGGTGTTGTTGTTTTTGTTGTTGTTGTTGAAGTGGAAGGAAGGTCTCAGGGTTCTGTCCGTGCCTTCAGCCGGACCTTCATCGCTACCCCTGCCAGCAATTCCAGGTGAGTGCTGTGCTCTGGGTGGGAACAGGCAGCCCAGCGTGGGCTCAGGTGTGTGGGTGTGTGGCAGTGAAGATTTGTTGTTTTCTCAGTGTTGTGGGAAGCCAACAGGTAGATCCAAGGACTGATCTGGGGCCTGACCCTTTACTCCTTCTCAGGATACTCTCCTTCTCCCTTGCCCCCGACCAACTACTGCATTTCCAATGTTCAGCTCATGCAGAGCTCCCAAATGTGACAAATTTTCCACCTGTATCCAATGGCATTGGGGTAGGAGTGGGGGCTCTGGAGTTAGAACACTGGGTTCTCTTTGTGATCCCAGCACTAACTAGATTTATACCTTGGTGAAATTATATGACATTTCTGTGTCTTTCCCTGAAAAAGGGATTAGATTGTCCTCTCCCTTAGGGGTATTTGCAGACTAAATACAGTGGGGTTAGTCCTACAAATCTAGTGAGGCTGGTAGAAAATCTCTCCAAATGTTGTGTCTGTGAAAAGGGCAGAGGTACCAGGCATGGACTCTGTCCATGTCGGTCAGGTATAGTTAGTCTGTGGAAGGAACCTAGTCTCTTTGTGACAGTAGAAGCAGAATCATTGTTGAGGGTATGGTATTGTCCACCCATCAGTTGTCTGAGGGCCCATTTTTCCTGCAGGCTGTGCATCATGAACGATGAACTGTTTGTGAGGGGTGCAACCCCCAGTGATGCTAAGAGTGTGTATTCCATACAAGTGCCTGCCCCCACCTTCAGCTCCACGCCCACTCTCTCCAAGGAGCCGCAAGAAATGGTGCAGGTTTTCTCCATCAAGTCTGGGATGAGCTTCCAGTGGTATCAGAAGTGAGTGATTGGTGTAAATGGGCATAGGAGGAAACTGGGAGAATTTGAGGAGTGAATGATAGGAATTTGCAGGTAATTTGTTTTTCCTGTTTATTTCACCCATCACCTTGAACATTTCTCTCTCATTACCTGTAAGCTACACAGTTGTTTTGAACAGGTATGTATAGTTTTATGCATTTCATGGACCTCATTCTTTTATTGATACACTTGGTTTCAGCAATTTTTCTAACACACATTGTGCCACAGGGCTTATTGCACTACGTATGTCACAGTAAATGTGGAGGCATGTTAATGTCACACAGGTTATGAAACAACAGTGTGTGGCCAATCTCCACTTTGGTCCTAATGGTTGTCTCCTGCCCTTCCTCCACCCCAGGTGTCTTCATGACAACCACTGGGACTACACCACAGCTGCACAAGTGCATGCTCTGCCCAAGGTGAGGTCTGGGAATTCAGGTCAAGTGAGCAGAGGCCAGGATACCTGAGGATGAGACTGAGGGCTCCTGGCAGTGATAATCTCCCAAATTCCTTGCTTTACTTCCTCCAGGCCAAGTACAAGATGCCAGAAGAGACCCTCCCACAGGATGATCCATGATCCTGAGAGCACATCCTCAACAAGAATCCTTTGGGTGTCATCATCTTCATCCTCACCATCTTTGCTGTGTTTCTCTACCAGTTTTAGTATATTCTTGTTATTCTGCCAGGAGGTCTGCTTGGAGCTGGGGAGTCAACCCTTAACTGACACTCATCCACCCAAAGGGATGATTGTTTTGTGTATTTGTCCCACCCAGGAACAGATTCTTTTCATAATAAAGAATGACGTTGCATGTTATGTCACATCCTTGTAAAAATCCATTCAAGACAAAACCCATTCACTGGTATACAGAGGAGGAAAGGAAAAGAGAGAGATGGTCAGCCAGTATCTGGGGAAAAGTGTGGTAGAGACTAAAATTCTGGACCCCCTAAAACTTAGGCTGTGTGCATTCCAAATGGCTATGTGGCTTTTGAGGTAGGGATACTCTATTATCCTGGTAAACCTGGGGAAGTAGTCTGTGCCCCTGGCATATCAGTCCAATATTTTTTTAGGCAGAGAACAGTATTATTTTCTTGGCCATACAAATCTCTTCAAATTTAAAAACAATCTATTTTGCAAAATAAAAAAAAAACAGTGTTAAAGAGCACATGAAAACCTAGGAAGAAAAAAATGTCCTCATTTATTGGTTACACTGGAGTAATATCCTTGACATAAAGCAGAAAATAAAGGAAAAGGAAGTAGTCTAGGTGAGAGTAACGTACTAGAGAGGGTGAGGCATCATATATAGAGACTTTTAAACTTTTTGAGAGGTGAGGAATTACAGCCTCTTTTGAGAAACTTCTAAGTATGGTCTCTTTCCCCACAAAAAAATGTAAATCTATTACCACCCCTCCTCACCCATATAGATATTTTTTAATAACATTTAATAGTGTCCACAGACTTCTGTGTTCAGAATGCCTAATCTAAGATTACTTAGGGTGGTCTGCAGAGAGTGTTCCTCAGGCCCTGGCAAAAATGAAGGAGTACCAGGGTGGGTATGGACTGGCAGATTGAGATCCTGCAGTAAGGCTGGGTTCTTCCTGAGTGCTCTGGAGGCAAGGATGTTAGGGTGAGGATACCAGGAGTCTCATTTCTTAAGCCAGGTGAGAGAGAGCAGAAAGGTCTGAGAGAGACTTCTACCTAAACAAGATGAAAAAGAAGAGAGAGCAGGCAGACTGGGGAAGCCCTTCCCCTATCAGTCATTTCTCTATGATTCTTCAAATACTCCACCACAAAGTTATTAAAAGAGCCCCATCTGGTTTCCAGTATGAGAACAGATCCTTGTCCCCACTGTGTATCTGGGAGGTAAGTCACTAGCTGGGAATTTGAGGAAGAAATGGAGGGAACAAAAAGATTTGCTCAAGTCAGTACCTTGGTCACATCTCCATCTATAGTTTTAGTGTAAGCAACAGTCAGGAGTGTGAATGTAAAGCATGAACAGCTCTGGAAAGTGGCAGCGGGAAGACCAGCCACTCCCGTCTCTTGTCAAGGAAGGGATGATCTTCAGTTGTCAGCAAATGCTTTATCATAGTTAATGAATGATTGTTTTAACATGATAAAATATACAAGTTTATTAATTAAACTTGAAATTTGACCCAGAAAGGGAAAAAAGGTAGATTGTTTACATTAAATGGCCAAGATCTGACAAACAGACTTCTTGGGCTTCTTCCTGAAGACCTCCTTCACACGTCATTTTTAAAACACTGACTGTGTTTAGAGAGAAACCAAGATGGAGGAGGAGTGAGTGGAAGTCACACGGACCTCCTCACAGGACCAATCTGGAATTACAACTAAATTGTGGAGAAATCACCTGGAACAAGCAACTAAACAGTAGCAAGAGAGGAGCCTTATAATCTCAGACAGACAGAAGAATCAGCTTTAGCACAACCTAACTGGTAAGGAGCGTGGAAGAGACTAGAGAAGGCAGGTGGGGTGCCCACCAGCAGCAGCACCAGAAGGATACTGAAACAACCAGTTGGATCCCCTTGAGAAGAACGGGGTCTAAACCATAAGTGAGGATCTCCAGCCTATAGCACCAGAGCCCAAAAAGTATGCAGATTACAACCAGCTGCGAAAAGTAGCAGGGTTGCTCTCTGTTAAAGACAGGCAGCTGGAGATACAAAGCCAGTTAAAGGGCCAAAGCATAAATTTTTAATTGCAGCCACTTACCCTGGTCTCCAGCAAAGGTGGGGGCAGAGCAGGCTGAAGCTGCCTGAGGAGAGACTGGGGAAGGAGGCTTTGGGAAAAGAACTGAGAAAGTAGCTGGTGGGATCCCGGTGCTGACTCTCCCCCATAAAGCACCAGCCCAGTGGTACTAAAGCCTGACAGCTGAGTACAGAGCAGCAGCGACAGATAGTAGATCCCTGGCTAAAGAGGGTGCAGACTGGTCTAGAGCCACTTGAGGAGAGACTGGAATTGGAGGCTTTGGGGAGAGAATGGAGAGAGTAGCTAGTGGGAACCTGGTGCTGACTCTTCCCCCATACGGTAGCAGACATCTGGCTCAGGAAGACCACTCCTCTGAGCAGCAGCAGCATGAGAGGACCGAACAACCCATCCGCAGGAGTGGTGTCTAAGCCTGAGTGCAGAGTGACTAGATTAACAACTGAAGAAGAAAACCGCAGACAGTAGATTCCTGTAAGTCTCAAACAGACTGCCTAAGGGTAGACAGGGTCAACATCTGACATCATCAGAGGCAGATTCAGAAAGAAAAAAAACAGCAGTCTCCTGCCATAGAAGTTCACACCACAAAGTCAGGAAATCAAGACAGATCAATTTAAGAAGCAGAGCAAAAAAGAAGAGTCTAACAAATAATGGGAAGACAAAGAAACACCCCCAACTCGAAGGGAAATGAGGAATCCCCAGAAAGAGAACCAAATGAAATAGAGGCAAGTAAACTGTCAGATACTGAGTTCCAAACAATGGTTCTACAGAAGCGCAATGAGCTCAGTGAGCTCAGATAGAATTACAAAAAAATAGAGGGAAACTACGAAGAACTTAATGCAAACTATATCAGCATGAAAAAGGAAATAGAAACTATCAATAAGACACAAGAGGAAATGAAGAATACAATTTCTGAATTGAAGGACACAGTACAAGGAAGGAAAAGCAGACAAGATCAAGCAAAAAAGCCAAGGATCAAATTAGCAAGCTGGAGGACAAGGTAGTAAAAAAAACACACAGAAAGAGCAAGAAAATGAAAAAAGATTCAAAAAGAATTAAGAGGCATTGAGGGAATTGCAGGACAACCTGAAACATAATAATATCCACATAATAGGGATGCCAGAAGGAGAAGAGGAAGAAGGGATAGAGAACCTGTTTGAAAAAGTAATGATGGAAAACTTCCCTAATTGGAGGAGAGAAAAAGTCACACAAGTCCAGGAAGCACAGAGGGTCCCATTCAAGAGGAACCCAATGACGCCCACTCCAAGACATATCATCATTAAAATGGCAAATATCAAAGACAGAGAATCCTAAAGGTGGCAAGGGAGAAAGAGGTAGTAACATATAAGGGGGCCCCAGTACAGCTAGCAGCTGACTTCTCAACAGAAACACGACAAGCCAGAAGAGAATGGCAAGAGATATTCCAAGTCATGAAAAGCAAAGGCCTGCAACCAAAGCTGCTCTACCCAGTAAGGCTCTCAATTAAAATAGAAGGCGAAATAAGGAGTTTCCCAGACAAAGGAAGGCTAAAAGAATACGTCTCCACCAAACTAGCGCTACAAGATATGCTAGAGAACTGCTTTAAGAAGATGAAGAAAAAGAGTCTATGAATGCACGCTTTCTTTCACAGTCACCAATACTTGATATTACCAATATTTTCAATACTTATTAATCTGATTGTGGCAATGATGTGTATTTTAGTTATTCCTTTATTATTTGTTGAAACTAAACCTATTTTTGTATATTTCTTGCCTATTTCTAGTATTTAAAAAAAGCTTTAAATGACTTTTTTGTGTTCTTTATCCGTTTTTTGATTAAATGTTTATAGAATTTTTTCCCTAAAAAACAAAACACTATTAACCCTTTTTTAGATGCGTTGTAAATACTCTTCTATTCTATTCCTTGTCCTTTAACTTTTTTATATGTATATTACTGTACAGTCTTAAATGTTTAATATCATATTGCCAATATTTTATTTTATAGCTTCTGGGTTTGAATATTTTACTTCAGGGTAAGAAAGATATTAGTTTGTATTTTCTTCTAAAACTCCTTAGATTTTACATATTGATTTTTAACTCACCTGAATATTTCTTATATAATGTGTGAAATAGGGCTCTATATTCATTTTATTTCAAGTAATAGTGGTCCATGCACCTTATTTGTTGAATAAGCCTTATTTTCCCCATTCACTTGAAATATCAATTTAATCATATATTACATTGTTAGATAGATATATATGTTTGTTTCTAGAATGCTCATTTTATTTCATTGATCTACTTCATTATTTTTGTGCTGGTGTCACGTTGTTTTAATTGCTGAGACTTTATAATGGATTTAAATTTTTTATATTTTATAATGGATTTTTTCATTAAAAATAAATAAAATTATTCTGCATTTTGGAAAGAGAAAGGAAGGAAGAAAAGAAAGGAAGGAAGGAAGGAAGGAAGGAAAGAAGGAATGAAGGAAGGAAGGAAGGAAGGAAGGAAGGAAGGAAGGAAGGAAGGGAGGGAAAGAAAGAGAGAGAAAGAGAGAGAGAAAGAAAGAAAGAACGAACGAACGGACAAAGTAAGGAAGAAAGAACTACCTTTTGTGCAATGTGGATGGAACTGGAGAATATTAAGTGAAATAAGCCAGTTGGTGAAAGACATACCATATGACCTCACCTATAAGTGGACTCTATTCAACAAAATAAACTAACGATCAAAATAAAGCACAGGCATGGAAACATGGAGCAGACTGAAAGTGACCAGCGGGGATGGGCAAAGAGGACAATGATGGAAAGAAGGGACTCAACAAAGAACATGTATGAATGACTTATGGACATGGACAAGAGAGTGAAAATTGACTGTGGTGGGGGCACG